GATGGTTATCATTTCCATCATCCACCTCCTTTGCCACACCTTTCCTCATTGCTCTGCGCAAGTAGGAGGCACTTCTGACAGCTGACCTTCGACAAGTCCAAACCAAAGCTAAAGGCGGAGGAACCGAATGGCCACCCACATCGAGTATGCCAAGCCAAAACTGGAGAGGCGATTGGTTGTCTCCTGTTCTCGTGCACCATACCCCCTCGTGAGATCACGGTCGGGGGAAGAAGTCCATGATTCTCCTTCGACACCGCCTCCCATTTCACAATCGATTCGTCCAACTTTTCTTGCGTGGCCTTGAGGAACTGTATCTCCTTCTTTAGTTTGCGTTCCGTGTCTTTCAACTCCGCTAGTGCCTTGGTGTCCTGCTCTGACATGGTTGGAATGGCCAAAACCTTCGCGTCGTTCGCGTCGCCGTTCTCGGAGCCACCATCGCCATGGGGTTTGGGCCTCACTGGCATCGTCTCTAGGGCTTCTTCGGCGTATTGCAAGATCACGTTGGATTTCCATCTGCCCAGGTACGCGACTTGCGGCACTTGCCAACCCTTTCTAATGTACTGCAAGGCCCCGGATCTTCTCCCCGAATGGCCCGAAATGCCTTTCCCAAAGCACTTCCGCCAGGCGCCGATGAGGTGGTCTTTCGACACTTCACCTTCACCGTCGCCGCAAACTAGTTTGTCCGCCTCCACGGGTACCGCCTCGAGGGTGGCCTTGGTGATTTTGTATGGGCACGGTCTTTGCCAGTTGCATTCTCCCCTGCACGAGCATTGCAGTGTCCTCTTCAAGCCCTTTGCCTCCTGGTCACCCTTGGTGATACGTAGTGTCAATGCCACTAATAATTCCTTCTCCTCGATCACGATGTCTTCCTTGTAGGTCGCCGCCAATTCGACTTCTCTCAACATCCATGTGGTGGCAAAGGCGAACAACAAAGCGGGGAAGTGAACTGCACCCCTCTGCACCTCGTTCATCTCCGCCTTGCATGCTGTGAACCACCTATCCTCCTCCACCTCTTTGGCCTTCTTCGGCGGCCCCTTTGCTCTGTTCAAGGCTCTCGTTGCCTGGGTATATGCCCTCTGTAGTTGCTGCGACCAGTACACGCCCGTCTCGATCGCCATGATCTTGTATTCAGACAAGTAGGTCACCCCTGCCTTGTACTCTGAAGACTTGAGTACGGCCCCTACCTGTTCCAGCGTCTCTGGCGTCCAGCACTCATTGGATCCCTTCACGCCCAGGTTGAGCAAGATCTTGTCCACCGTCTTCCTTACGGATGCTCTTGCCCTCCTCGATGAGTTTGCATAGTAGCCCTTCTTGAAGTTCACTAGGGTCCTGGTGCTCTTCGGCCCACTTGACCTGAACATCTTTGCCGTTCGGATGGCTTTCAACCACTTCTGATTTCCTTTCAACTTCGGGTTCATCGATGGTTGCTGCGGGATGTCCGGCCGCCTGTGGCCCAAGGGCTTAGCCTCTCTAATCCCTTCATGCCGAAGATGAGTTTTACCTCGCTCTTCCTCCTTCTTCTGACGTTTTCTAGCGCGAGCTCCTCCCTCTTCTTCCCTTTCCCCCGATCTCTCTTTCGGCTTTGCTTCTTTTCGCCGGCGCTTCACCAGATACACCAGCGAGTTGACGTCCGTGTCCTTTTTCTCAGTCCTTCCCCCCGGTGGCGAAGGTGGAAACTCAAAGATTTCGGCTCTCCCTTCTCCCTCCTTCACCGTCTCCTTGACCTTCACCTCGTCTTCCCAAGCGCTCATCTCCCATAGTTCTGATTGGCCCCCCTTCGCCTCCTCCAGCATCACAGTTGCCAGCTGTCTTTCGAATTGAGCCTCCTCGTAACCAGCCATAGCATGTCTCTCGTAGCCACCACCCTCTCCCTCAGCGGTGGCGAACTTGTCCTCGGTGTGTCCAACTCCGTCGAAGGCGCTGAAGTCGTCCCCTCCGTGCCTCTTGTCTCCCTCGGTGAGAGGTGGTCCACCATTGCTCTCCAAGGTGCTGGTTCCGAAGGTGAGGCCTGGGGGTGCCTCCTCCTGGTCCCTCTTTCCGGTGTCCATTCCAGCAAGTTGTAGGGGTAGATGTCCTCGTTGTCCGTTCGGTCCATGTCCCACGGCTCCTCCCATCGTTCTTCCTCTGATGGTTGGTGTTCCCCCCATAGGTCTTCTTCTGATGGCTGAGGTGTCTTCTCCGCCCCGTTCTTTGCCTTCGTGGATGTCCGCGGAGAACTGAGGGAGTGCAGGCAGCGAACCAACCGTATGCAACCGAGCCATGCTACCGCGAGGTGGGTCAGCACGCCACTGACGACGAGGTAGAAAAGCCAGAAGCGAAGCCATGGCCACGCGTGGACGTACCCATACACCTCTGGTGGTGAGGTCTCCACGGCCGTCGTCAACTCCATCTTGAGCCCCGGCTACGAAGGGTACCTGACACCGTAACAAATCGAACGAACCCGATCGAGCCTACAGTACCTACCAGGTTCCACATTGTGGCCTCCCGGCAAGCCCCTCCCTGCCCTTTTCAAATCGACCCTCACGGTCGCAGATTCCAGGCCGCCGTCAAGGCTGTGTCATCCTGCCATTCGGCGGAGTCCGGTCCTGGTGGATGAAGGCTATACCATTCGACCGTCCGCTCCACTGGCGTTTCGATCGTGATGCCCTCCAGCGCCGCCGGCAAGGTAGTGCTGCTCCATGTGTCCGGCCGGGACAGAAAGTCGGCCTCCTTGTTCGCTGTTCCCGGTAGGTGCACCGGTTTCAGCTCGGCCAAGCCCAGCGCCTCACACGCCACCGCCAGCTCTGCCCCGAGGAAATTGAGGGCTGACCCGCTGTTGGAGAACTTTTGCGTCATGGCCAAGGCTGTGATCGAATCCGACTGAACGGATATGGCCAAATTGACCGCGGTCAGCAGGCGTCCCCAGTGCCGTAGTGCTGCCAGGATCGCCAGAGTCTCCACAAGCTCGAACCCCAGCAGCTTTGCGTCTAACTCGCCCACTGGGGATGCCATCGCCTTGGTGACCCGGCCGTTCACCAACAGGATTGCCCCTAGTCCTTGAGGTGAGGCGTCCGTCAGCAAGGTCAGATCGGCCTTGCCTCCCTTGTACAGGTTGAACTTCCGAATCGGTTTGCCCTGCGCCGCCTTGAGATAAGCCAACAGCCGCTGTCCTTCCGTTGTTCCCTTCTGATGGCCTCCGTCCCTTGTGCCACGTCCTCCTCATGGTCGTAGAGGGTGGCATAGAAGGTTGATGTCACCCACCTTGCTCGTGGCAGAATGCCCGCCAACCATGCCACCCGCCCCGCTGCTTTGCGAAGTTCCGAAGCTGCAATCATGCCTTTCTTGTCCCATGCTTCCAGCTGTTTCCTCAACTCTGCCATGAACTTCTCCGGCAACGTCAGCAGCAGGTGGTCGTAGTCTGGTGCCACCAGCTTGAAGTTCACTCCCACCCAAGTCACTGACGCTGCTCGGGCTCCTTTCGCAAGGGACAACTTCAGGCCCAGGGCGGCCATCGTGGTCAAGATGCAAGCCAGCATCTTATTGCGCACCGGAAGGTGTCCACACAGTGCCCACAAGCTGTCATCCAAGTACACCTGATGCATGCCATTCTCCGGTGGGATTATTGACTGGACCAGCCTCGCGACCATCGCTGCCACCCTGCTCCATGTCAGAGGTGCGGTCTTGAAGCCAAAGAGTAAGGCAATGAACAATAGCCAGTGATCGTCGTCCAGGGCTGGTGCTAGGCAATGCCCCTTCTCCTCCTCCTTGACCGCCAGATGCATGTACGCGTCCGATATGTCGATCATGACCAGTTCCATTGCCCGGTCCTGTTGTGCTCCTTGGTCTGCATGCAGCGCGTGCATCTTCCTCAACATCGCCACTGCGTCCATTGGCCTCGGGAGGATGATGCGCTCTGGCAGCTCTGCCTTTTTGTTGCCCCCTGACCTTTTCAGGTCAATGATGATGCGTCTCTTCTTCGACCCGTCCTCCTTGTCCTTCACGATGAGTCCCAGCCAGCTTATCGTCGTGCCCTTAAATCCGGCCTCCTCCACTTCCTTCTTCTTCACCTTCACCGCATAGCCCAGTTTGCAGAGTCTGCCCACCTCGATCTCTGCATCCTCCGCCTGTTCCTGTACCGAGGTGTAGTTCCCGATGTCCTCCCTCAACCCTTCAGCCGCCTGTATGTCTCCTAGCGTGGACTTCTCCTCTGGCTTGGTTGAAGGCGGGAAGATGCCGCATGTCCTCATGGGGCAGTTTATCCCCAAAGGAACTCCATCCCTGATCCAGCGGTGGACTTCCGTCTCCGGGTCACCGCCCCTCCTTCCCCAAGCCTCGAACAGGTTGCCCTCCAAAGGAGAAGTGAAAGACCACTTGCCCTTCAACCTCAAGGCACCCCCGCCTCGGGCACCTGTGAGTTTCCTTAACTCCTCCTTCCACCTTTCAATCATCCTCCCTTCGAGGCTGCAGTCTGGTGTGCCGTAGCTTTCACCAACCTTCACCGCCATGGGGTACTTGTTGCAATGCCTGTCCCAAGCGCCCAGGATCTGTCTTCCTAAGTTCTGTAGTGTTGGGAGTCCTTCCACCACCTCCGTCGGGTTCTTCAGCCCCCCGATGAAAACCTGCTGCCCCAGGTCCTGTTCCTTCTTCTTGTCCTCCTTCAGCAAGCCATACTTGCCCTCACCTGGTTTCCATCTCAGGTCCTGTCTATCGTTCTTCTCTCCCGGACCCTTTGTGCCCCTTTCTCCTGCCCCTTGAACGAGACCTCCCTTCCCTCCTGACTCCACTGCTTCTCGCATGCCCTTCGTCGTCGCCTTGAGTGTGATGGGCTTCCTCCTTCTTCATCTCTTCCTTCCTCTTTGTTTGCAGTCGGGCCCTTTCCTCCTCCTCCTCCTCTCTCTGCCATTTTCTCTTCCTTTCTCTCACCTCGAGCGCGTCCTTGACCGGTGAGGGTGATGTCTTTATGCCCTCTCTCCTCCTCACGTCTCTTGCCTGCGAGGCCTCGGCGTTGCTTGTAGCGATGTCATCATGATCTTGTTCACCTTCCTTCAACCTCCCCTCCAAGTACTCCGCCGTTGCCATCTTCTCGAAGTGCTGCATGAGGAGGTGTGCATAGGCGTTGCAAAGCTCCCAAGGGTATTCGCCCGACTCCTTTGACTCCTTCTTCCCCACGATCGGCCGGTGAGAGGCACTGCCGCACTTGCACTCTCTGTCGAGTGACTCGATCCCGTACAGCGAACCTGCGAACTGCTGGGGCTTCCAATGGCGGTCTCCTCGGCTCCCGCTCGATTGGTATGCGCAAGTGTTGAACAGGGAGATCTTCACACCTGGTAGTCGAAGATATTGCACCATCTCTTTCATGCCCCAGGCCGACAGGTGTCCCTCCACCTCCGAAGGCGGCGGGTTTTCCAAACTCGTGGGCTTCACCACTATTGACGTCGTCGGTGACCTCATGACCTCCTCTGCCAACTGCGTCGATCGAGCCAGCATCACCGTCCCTCTATCGCACTCCCTCTGCTGGGCCTCGTTGTTCGAAGCCTTCCCATATGGTTCAGCTCGAGTGCGGACAGGTCCGGGTAGTCCAGCTGCTTCTCTAAACCTCAAACGCGAAAACGTCGAGCAGGGGAAGCCGGCATGAAACCCATCGATCAGGCCTTCCCGAGCCCAACGTAGATGGGTGTTGTACGGTTCATCTGCACAAAGGTCCTGACCCCAATCTCGCTCAGCGGAGATCACCTCGACGTTCAAACCCTTCTTCTTGGCTATCCGATGAATCTTAGCCCCCAGTGGATCCCTCGGGCCTGCGAAGTGGTGGAGGAAGCGGAACCTGCGCTGTTTGATGTACTTCGCAATCTTCTCATCCAGGGCCTTCTAGCTTTCTTCCTTCTTTGGCTGCTCCTTTCCTTGATCCTGCTTCTTCTCCTCACCGCCTTCTTCGCCTCCTTCATGTCCACCTTGTTGAACTCCATCACCGGTGCTCTTCACTTCTTGCCCTGACATCGATGCGCCGGGTGACCTGGTGACCCGCATGATGAGCACTTGTGAATCCGCTTGATCGTGTTTGCGCACTCGGCTCCAGCTGGCAGCGACCCACACGGCGAGTTCCCGTTGTTCCAGGAGAAGCAAATAGCCTCCGCTTGCTTCCCGCCTCCTCCCTTTTTCCCTTTTCCTTTTCCTCCCGACCTTCGCTCGCCGCTGCCTTCGTGCCGTGCATCTCGAAGTCGTTGGAGCTCTTCGCGTTCTGCCTGCCACTTTCTCTTCTTCGCTTCTTTTCTTTCTCGATTCACCTGCCTTCTGGTAGATGAGGTAGCCGTCGAAGAACTCTGGTTGAATGCTCCCGACTCCATCGATGGCAAGAGTGCATCCGCTCCTCCTCGAACTGTTCCTTGTGCGATGGTCTCCTGAGGAGTTTGCACTCTTCCTTTTGAGCCCGAAGCCAACCACGTCAGAGCCGGGCCATGCACCTGGTCCTGCCAAAATTTCAGTTCGCCGGGCACCATTTTGAAGATTGCTTCCCATGGCTTTTTCTCTTCGAAGGCGAATGGGGCTGCCTTTCCTCCCTTCATGTCCATGTTGATCTTTAACTTCAACCTCGATAAAAGTTCGCCCCGCGCCATCTCGTCCGCCGCGTACACCAAGTGCCAAGCCTCTGGGTATGCTCTGGTCAACTTCTCCACGAACAGCTCGTAGGCGTGCAATGGTGCCAGCGTGCACTCCTCCAACATCAGCATGGCCGTCGTGAAGACCCGATAGCAAGCTCTCCACTGGGTGAAGTTCGCCGGACCCGGAAGCTCCTTTGCGACATAGCCATCCGCCGTAGGGATCCAGGTCTTGTATTTTGAAGCCCGTAGTGCCTTCCTGCCGAACGGGACGAACACGCCAAAGTCGCAGTAAGGAGGTTTGCCCAAGCTCAACTTCTTCTTCAACGCTGACAGTTGCTCTATCGTGGGCTCCTCCTCCTCTTCGGGCAAGGCTCCCGTTCTGGAGGAGTATCATCTTGGCCTCCTCGTTGAGTACCTCGAATTCTCCATCGTCCCCTTGGTCGAGGACCTGGGTAAATTTCAGTGTCCTTTCCTTCGTTTCCTTCACGAACTCCCCAGGTGCCGCTGCTGCCCTCGCCGACGAACTCCTCGGTGGTGAAGGAGGGGAATCGCTCCATGGATCTTCCTCTGACCAATCCTCCCAGGTGCCACCCCCCTTCACGAACATCATCCTCCTCGCCAGCTTCCACACGAGTCCCACCTGGGCGGCCTGAACCGCGGTCAAAGGGGCGCCGTCGTCGAAAGTCGCTTGGGCCAGCGAGGCCGCGACTACATTGCCCGGAAGGGCCGCCAAAAGCCGAAGGTCGTCGTTCGGATCGCCAGCCTCGCGAACAAATGCCGCCCACAATGCGTCGGCCACCTGGAAGTGATCCAAGATGGCCGACACCGACGACATCGCCGCGGCCGCCATGGCCGAGGGGAACATCTCCCCCCAGCAAGCCGCCCGCGAGGAGCGCGACCCACCACATGACCCTCAAACAAAGGGTCAGGGCTTGAGCCAAAATGGCGTACTCAAGCCCTGACCCCACCCAGACCTACCTAAGTTGTCCATCAGAAAACTCCTTCGTCTTTTTCTTGCACAAAAACGCTTCAAGTTCGAATGACGCGAATGACATGGCGCACCACAGGAGAGAGAGACTTTGGCACCCTAAACCATACACCCTGAACCCCCTGACTCTACTTGATTGAGGGGGGCGATGGATCTGCGCGTCGAGAGTGGTACGTCCGTTGGAGACGCCCACTCCGTTGGTACTCCTGTGATGCAAAGATCACAACACTCTGCTACGAAGCAGTAGAACTGTGTTGGGTTCCGTCTCGTTGGGTCGACTGAAAAGAGTTGTTTCCCAGCAGTCACAAAGGGGTGCTTAATGGAGGTTAGGAGTGCCCATTATCCACTCACTTGGAGACTAAACACCACCCCTTTGTGACTCCTGGTCCATGTCTTTTTCAGAGTTTCTCCTTGGTGCCTTCAAGTTGTGTCAAAACGACCAATGAGTGAATGGAAGTTCGAAAACACCAAGGACGCAGTCGCAGTCTGCGCGATGCCACCCGCAGTCCCCATATGGGCAATCGCCAGTGATAAATCTTTGTCGACCAGTGGACATGTGTCTCTGCCACCAGACAGGGCCCCTGAACTTTGGAGAACCAGCGTTCTATTTATCACTTATCACAAGAAAATGTGTCCTCATCGGATTCAGACTAGTGACTAGGATGACTAGGACGCTGCAGATCCTTCAAATTCAAAGCAAACCCGCAGAAGGCGTGAGAATAGATGGCGCAAATTCCAAGAAGACCTTCCTTTGTGACCTTTGTCAATCACTAGCTGCGGCGGACTTCTACTCCACTCTAAGTCTCCGTTGGCTGCTAAGCCACGACAAGCCTTGTCATCCACTGATCCTCTTATGACCACAAACTCCGCGAGGTCGTTCCGGCTGCCGACCACCGTGCCTCCCGCTGGAGGGGCTTCTCCCACTGCAGCTCCAAGAGCACAACACCGTCAAGGCTCTCTTCCAAAGCCTGGATCCATGTTCGTGTTGATTGTTGATAAATGGAACCTCCACCAGTCCAGAAGGAGTTCGGACTGTTATGAATGTCATCCCCCTGACCCAAAGCCGATCAAGCTGGTACTAGTGACCGATTCTGGTTTTGGCATGTTTTAGCTACGTATGCCTATACCATCTGATTCCACCAAATGGTTTGAGCTACTCCACCGACTCCAATCCCCTGTCCCCTGTCGGTTCCGCGCGTTGCCCGTTCCGCCACCTCGCAGCCGCGGAGCAACGGGAGATTCCCGGTCTCCTGGACGATCGGTCAACAGCCGTGGAGCAACGGGTGGACGTCGATCAATGTCTGTTTCAGAGGGTGACGTGTGTGGCTCTGACAAGGTGAGGCCGAGCGGCCACGGAGGCGGAGCCCATCCTTTTGTATGTTCAGAAGGCCTGCTTTTTTGGGGGGGTAACTACGCGATCAATAGGTCTCGTTTCATCAAAATGTCCAAGTGGCAGGTGTTGGGAGTGTGGACTCTACGTGATCGGCTAGAAGTTAGAAGATAGAATTGCGCAATCTGCTGATCAAATACCAGCAGTTTAGGAGAAGTATGATTCTAAACATACCCAAACTCGGGAGTCTTAGCAGTTCAATCTCTTTCAGGAACTCATGGGCGTTTCAATCCCAAAGATTTCCAGTTGGTTGGACTGTTTTCTCCAGTTGGAGAGGCCTTTGCAGGTGTCCACTCCACCGGCATACGTCTCCGAATTCAGATCTTTCAGACCAGGTCCTCCCAAACTCCGAACAAGCCCACAGTAGGTAGACTCAAAGCCTCACTTGCTTAGCTCTTGGAGAGCATCTTCCGGGACATCGGTCCCCTCGCGGAGGGCCGAGCATCTTCCGGAGACCTCTGGAGATCATCCGGGCCCTTGGGGGCCTTGCTCGACTGTCTCCACTGGTGCGGTGTTCGGTGGGCCCCAAGTGGTCTTCGGCAGCACCTGACTTGCTTGGTGACCACTGACCTATTGTGCTTTACCAAGTGTTTGGGTAATATGCTGCATGCTGATCATTCTCAACTACCTCCATCTCATCTCCAAATCTATGAAAAGAAAAATACAATAATAACACCTCCGATAAATCTGAGATCATCATCTCTCAAGCTTCCCTTTTCGGAAAGAGGTCCCTCTTTCACCGGTGCCAGACCCCACGAGCCAACCGCCCCGGTGAACGTCGCTCCAAGACGAGGTCGCTGCAGGACTCGAAGCGCGCAAAGGCGTAGCCGGCGACGCCGGCGGCCCCGCCCTGGTCGCGGCGGAGACTAGAGGCGGAGAGGTTGGCGGAAGCGAAGGTGGGTGGAAACTCCAAGTCTTGGAACCTAAGAGCACCACAGAACGAATGACAAAAACAAGAAGAGCCAAAAAAAAGCGGACATCGAGTCCCGACATCGGAAGCACTCCGGACCGGAAAAAACCGCTGGATCATGGATACGTGTGTATTGGGTCTATCCTATTACCAGCAAAGGTGGATATTAGCTTACTGATTGTTACAGGTAAATTCGGACAGACCCAACGTCTGTAGCTCAAAAAAGAGAGGGCCCAGGGCCCATGGGGAAGGGTTTGGGGCCATCCTGTGCATCTTTCAGCGTCAGCATCCGCGTCATGGCCAGGCTGTGTTGTCTGGGCGTGTGGAGCTCAAAGACCGAACCCCCAGGCGTTGCAGTTCCGAACACCCCCCCGAGAAGTGATCTTGGCGTTGCGAGCCACGCAGCGGCGCTTCGCGGTCCGCCGAGTCCGGTTCCTCCTCCGCTTCGTGCCGACGGCCTGGCTCCAGTGGAGCCGGAGCCGCGACGGGCGACGCTGGGGATGCAGCTCCTGCGCGGCGCTGGCGCGCCAGCGCGGAACGTGAGATGCCATGGCTCTGGTGTGGGTCCGAGTTCCTCTCAACAGCGAGGGTCCCCTTTTTGAGGAGACCATCTCATTGGTGCGAGATAGTCCCCTGGTGCTGCTTTTCTCCCTTGGCTTTCAGTGCGCGCCTGTCGACCATTTCCTCATTTGCAAGGCCAGGTTTGGGGAATGAATGTGTGAGAATCTCCTGCTTTCGTGCGGTTGAAGGCTTCTTTACCTTGATTTCCTGGACCAGCCCTCCCATCTCATCTCCCCCAGACCAGACCCTCGCCCCGGCAGTTGGTCGGGCATGTCCAAACTCTGCCCTCATCTTGGAAGGTTTCTCCACATCAACCTCAGGGCTCCGGTGTGACCATGCAACACCAGAGTCCAGGGTGACTAAGCGCTTCACCCGGAGTCCAGGTCGACCTCTTGCCCGGAACCCGGTCAAGAAGAGACCCTGTCGATCTGGGGGGGGGGTGCGTCGATCTTCCAGCCCTGCAACAGGTCGGTCTTTCTGGATGAAAAGGCCGACATTCTGCATATTATTTAGAATAGGAAGATCATGAAAGATCCATAGAAATCCATAGAATACCATTTGAAATGGAATAGAACCCATTCGAATAATTGCATCATCATCATCATCATATTAGGATTCATTAGGAATCAATTCCAATACCAATTGAAACCCACATATCGATGTTCCTTCCCCAAGCCTTGGCTCTGACCCTTCGACTTTTCCTGATAGCCCTGGCTCTGGCCCGTCTGGAATCGAAGAAGCCTCGGCCCACGCGAACTCCGAAGGCGCACGATGTAACGGAAAAACCACCCGCGGCTCTCCGGAGTGGCTTCACCCGGAAGTAGATCATTGTATAGTACCCTCCATCCAACAAACATGGAAGTGGATGGAATGGCCCCGAAGAGAAGGTATTCCACTCCCATGATTGTTTTCAGGGAGGGTAGACCCCCAAATGAATAGAAAAGTAGATGTCAAATGGCCCACACGAAAGCTAGTTGGCTATGAATTACCAGGAGTGCCATACATGTCCTATTACCCGTTCGTTTTCGCTTCACCCGTTTTGGGCAGCTGTGCAGCGGTCGAGCCGCTCGCGGTCGAGCGGTTCGTCTTCGGGACGGTGAAACCCGGCATTCGCCATGGCATGCACTCCCTGAAGTCATGGTGATGTGGTTGTTCCTATGGCCACCGATGATGGAGGACTATGAACTCCGAAGAGCCAAAAATGGTGCTGGTGGTCCGCCCTCCGACTTCCGGCTGATGTGGATGAAACAGGGAGCAGAGTGGCTTCACCTCTTCGGAAGCTATTGAAGTAGATGAGTAGATCGTTGTGTATCCGAAGAAGAGTTGCCACTTGTGATTCTAGGATCTTCTCTGCTGCCACTTGTCAGGCAAGCCATGGAATAGTACTGTAGAAAACCTCCCTCTGAAGCCTCAACGTTGACCAAAAAAGGAACAACGGACACTGAGTCAATCCTCTGCAGCTGCGAAACTCGCCAGAATTCTTTTGGTTCCGATCCGAAACGCCGAATCCGAGAATCCGAAAGCAATAGATGAGACTTGCGGGAAAACCCATGGAAAACCCCGTTGTTTTTGGAAAGAAAAAAAAAAGCTGAAAGCTTCAGCCAAGCCCCGGCCAAACTGCCAGGAAAGCATCCCCCCCCCCAATCTGGTTTGCTTCTGCCGAGCCGCAGCAAGGTCTCCCTCCATCGTTCGCCACCCGGCACCGGCCGCAGGGCTTGGCAAGTGAAGAAGGGCAAAGACCCTGGAACCACGCATGGCGATGGAGGTGCTTTTCCCGTGGAAGAAAACCAAAGACGCAAAACCAATGTGAGTTGTTCTTACCCCCCCAAAAAAGGGACAAAAAACTCAATACTCAAAAGGGGCACTTGCAAGTTGCATTGGATGAAGAACTTCAGAACGACAAATCCCATGTACACTGGAAGCATGTCGTGATGGAATCACGTGGTGGCAACGTCATGTGGCCACCGGTGGGCTTCATAAGGTGGCTTCATCCGATGTGAAAACCGATCCTCGAACATGCTCGGGATTTGCCATCGAACCTGGGACATTTTTGTACTATTCCCCGGGTTAGGAAGAGTGAACCACAGGGAAAATACCCAACACTTCACCCGGTCATTCTGCAGTTCACTCGCTTCAAGGTCATTGACCTGGTCACTCGCCCAGTCGTCGGCGCTGGCCGACCGACCACCGGGATCCGAAGCGACTCAGAGTCCAAACGACCACGTTTCCCCTGCAAATGGATGAACACCGTGTCCAGCAAAGTGCGGAGAGAGAGCAACTTCTTTCGCACACTGTGGTAGGATGCTGTTATTTTTCTCAGGGATGTATGAAGAAAGAACCTTCATGTTTTGAAAAGTGGACAAGAACAACCCAGAAACCCAGAAACACTATCCATGTTACTAGATGTTACTTGTAAAGTTGAGGGCCTTTGCGACGTTCACACTCCAAAAAACAAACTGGTGTTCTGGCCCGGTCCGGATGTTTTTCGCAAAAACCGTGAAAAGAAAGGTGCAAAGAAACTCATTCTCATGTTGTTGTTGAAGGGATGTTGACAGGTTCTCCCCTCCTCCGCACGCGTGGTGTGTCGCACGACGACGCGTTGCCCCGCGCCGAAGGAGGTGGGCAGCGCCGGCGGAGAGCTCGACCAGGTGCTGCCGTTCAGGGACCCGTCCAGCGGAACCTCGGCCATACTGGAGGCTTCCTGGAACTCAGAGCCATACCAGGCGGGCGAAAGGGCCGAATCAAAGGTGTTGGACCCTTAAGAAAAACCGCCCCAAAAGGACATCCAGAATGTTTGCCCGTTTCACATTCCCATCCACCATTCAAACTGCTCGAACCTGGCATGTTTTGAGGGGGGGTTGGTGGTTTTGATTTTCCAATTTGGAGGTTCAGAAATCTTGCACAACCCGATCGAGTTATGCCTGAAAGTGCCCATACACCTGGGTGGTTCATCGTTGAGAGGAAACACCGACCAACGCGCCAAAGCGGTCTGTCTGCGGTGGCAAAGTATGTTGGGTTGAACCCATGTCTTGACCACGGCGAGCAAATTGTTGTTGGTATTATTATGGAGCAAGCTTGCCGGGGTGAAAGCAACCCGGCAAAAAAAGGCAGCGCGGCGGCGCTCCCGCGCGAGCCGCGCACCGTTCCCTCGGCCGAGGTGCTGGGTAGGTCACCTGGAGTTCCCAGCCGGAGCTCTTGGTGATCACCGCTTGCACCAGGATCTCCTGAACGGGACCGGCCGGACGTGGCCAGGCTGCACGGCCGGGACGGCGCGAGTCCTCCCGTTCGAACGGGGACGGCGAACCGTGACGAACGTGACGAAGGGAAGACGGACGGGAGGAACGTGGCGTGGCGTGAAAAGGAAATACAGTAGACCAGGCAACTGGTCTCGGTCTCGGTCTCACATGGTCTCACTGAGATTGGAGCCAAGAATTCTGGGAGGTTTGGTGCTTTAGGGGGCCGGGTCCCAGATGTATCAGAGGTCCAGCGGAGTTCCATGGTGCAAAGCTAGGAGCTTGGGGCACGGGCCCGAAGCATGAAACTTGGCCCGACGCGTTGGCCCCAGAACACGAGACCAACCCCAATGGACAAGTAGATGTCCAAAAACGTCTCCACTGCTCAGTGGCTACTGTTCCGTTTGAGAACTGACCTGCTCAGTGGCTACACGTCTCCGGCGTCGCCCAGTCCGATAATCCAGACCATCCCTGTGGAACATGCCCGGTCTTGCGACGCCCCGCCCCCCGCCCCCGCTCCCAGTGCAAGGTGTAGACCACCCCACGGAAGAGGCAGTGGAGCCCGCGCTTCCACTGGGCCCAGCTCCTTGGAAGGAGGTGTGGCGGGTCATGGGCGCGTTGGACGCATGAGGGATGGCTTGGTGTGGGATGCCTCATGGGTGGTTGCTGGTTGGTGTAGGATGCCACGTTTGAATTGTGCGGCAACAAGTCTGGAAGTTGAGATCTGAGAGTTCCGGGTGAACTCACAAAGCGGAATCCCATGGAATTCATAGGGTTAGGTTTTTACGCATCAGAAGTGAACAAGTCAGCTCTCCCTTCCTCACGACTCTCAAGAGTGGACATAGCTTATGAAGCTTCATCCACAGCCAGGCCTCAGCCAGGCCTCGCGCGCACACAGCTCGAACTGGTCCAGTTCGTGAGTCTTGTGAGTCTCGCCGCCCAACGGCAACGGTGGCTGTTTTGATGCTGGGTGACCTCTCACGGACCAGCCCCGGGCCGGGCGTGGAGAAACCCGAGACACCTCCGTTCACGACCATGTCCCAGCTCACTTCGACACCGTGGTCCGTCCGTCACCCAGGTGTTCACCCAATTCTTGGCCCCAATGATAGTGACAGACAATATGACCACCAGTCGGACAAAATGAGTGATTGGAAGCTCTGGGATTGATATATCATATGCTGCCCCATTCACCCCTGACCCCTGGCCTTAATTGGGAGTCATCCGCCAGTCCCATGGGTCGTGTCTGGGTGTTAGTGACTTGTTAGCGAGTCGGCGTGTAAAAACCAGGCAACGAAAGGGAATGGTGCACCAAACTTCCTTTGGCTGCCATTTCTTCACCTGTTTGAATCAAACACAGCTGCTGCCCCACGTTCATCGCCCCCCCCTACAGGTGGCCCAGCCCTTCCCTGCCAAGGTTCAGAGTCATGAGGCAAGACCCTCGGGTCGCCTGCATGATCGGGTCGAGTCTGGACCCGGGCGTCGGGATGTGAGCGACCGGTCCGAAGAGAATCCGGGGGCAGCGAGGCTTCCAGGTCCGACGCCACGTCGGTGGAGACCGTGGAGACCTCCTTAGGCTTCCCTGGTCCACCACTCATTGATTCATAGGCGGGGAACATCCCGAATCAACGACCAGGATTTTACACGACAAAGCACCAGAGTCGTTCCCATTGGTTTGATGGTCGAACGGAAGTCTAGGGTAACTATATCTTCCAACGTTGGCAGATTGCTGGCAGAAAGTCTGCATCGTTGGAAGATCCAGGTAACTTCAGCCCCTGTGAGCTCGGCTAGTCTGGTCAATGTCTGTACCAGACTAGAGCCACAGCAATCAACAGGCTGGAGCTTTCACCTATCGCTTCGTTGGGGCCTTCCCACCAGGTCCAATCCCAATCACCTGCCAGGCGCACCTGCCAAAGGCAATCCACTGGTGGGGCATTGGACAAGCCGGGGCCCTAGGAGACGGACTTGCGGCGGCGCTTCGGCCGAGAGGTCATGACCGAAGAACGCAGGACGTCTGAGTTCTTCAAGTTCTTCCCATCTTTTCCGTGCCATTTCACCGTGGGGGTTTTGGGAGTGTCAGGTCATGTCAGGTCATGGATCCTTTGAAAGGCCACCGACCCAAAGTGCACGTCCCGTCCTGGGAAAGCCACTAGACTCTAATAGTAGGTCAACTCCAGGTCAACTAGCATCCAACAGTTCGTGGAGTAATGAAAGATCTTTGGGAACTTCTCTACCCCTCCCCTCCACCTGCCCTCCACCTTTCGCTCTGGACAGCTTGGAAGAAGGGACCCAAACATCCAGCTTCGCTCCGTTGAATCGGCACTCCGACCTCTCTTTCTTGGAGTCGGTTTTGGAGTTGGACGGGACCACGTCCTGTTGGAAAACACAGGGCATCGTCCTTTTCATCCGTGTCTTGTTCGAATCGCTCCACCAGTACACATATGGGCTGAGGCGTTCACCGAACCACCAGGGCTTTAGGGTTTTACATGGATTTTACATGTACCCTCCAAGAGGTGTCTATAAATAGCCTCTTAGAGTCCAAAAACCACCGGACTTGGAGGGACCCAGTTTCACCCACCCTGGTCACCGCACCGGTCCACTCCGCTCCGCGCTCGCCCTCGGCCGCGCAGCCCGCTGCCGCTGCCGCGCCGCCTCGACGGCGGGGTCCAGGACTCGCAGGTCGGAGGCGACGGGAGGAACCACCCGCACCTGGCACGTCGCGTCACCACCGGCGTGGCGCGGCGGGCCGCCCCCGGTCACGTCGGACAGGTCGAAACAACATGGAGATGGTCTTCTGTTTGCAATCGGTCCAGTTGGGTTTGCCGGGGTATGCCTTTTCGAAATATCCCAACAAGGGGTGTGTTGTAGAACATGGTAAAACCACATATCAGGTGAAATGATTGCATCGTCTGAAGTGATGTTCGAGTGATTGGCGCAGGCGGGTGGCCCTCAGAAAAGGTGCCCAACAGCAGTTGATGGAAATGTTTGGCCAACACACCATATAGACCATATACATTCAAAGAAAGGACCCTCTCAGTTAGAGAAGGGAACTCAGGGTCGATGTCTCCAAAGAAAGAACCGGATGTCTCCAGACGGATTTCTTGCTTGCACATTTCGATCCGTCTGACGGATCCAACACGCCCTTATGCCCTTGGCCGTTTCAGCCTTGAAAATGGTTGGCACACTGGTGTCACATGTCTTGCAAAAGCCATGAGTTCCTTGCACTTCGCTCTATTTGCAGCTAAGGAGTCTCGTTGAAATGCCTTATCACTGCCCAAGGAATGTAAGCCCCGATCACCCCAAACCGAAGCGGCCTCTGCCGGCACCCACGCGGTCGGATCCTCGACCAGGCCGCCGCCGAGCGGTCGGGATGTAGGGAAAAACCATGCGGGGAAGGACGGCTGGGCATGGTGCAAAACCACCTACCAGGACCTACCGGGACCTACCCGGGACCTCCCTACACCTCTGGCTTCGGGGGTGAACGGCACAAGAAGGGCTTGAATATAGGAAGGAAGTATGAGTAGCATCGAATCTACCTGCTTCCCGCAACCGTCCTGTTCACTCTGAAAATAACATACCTGCTGGTTCCATTATTGGTGAAGAAGCATGTGTACAAGGACCCTTCTCTCATCTTCTCTTCCAAAGAGAAAATTCACACCCCACACCCCCACACACCTCCAATCTTCCAAAACTCACCACTTCTCCATCTCAAACACCCTGCCTACCCGGCCCCAAAGTTCCCCGTGGCCTCCTCCAACGGCCTCCTCCCCTCTCCGCCACGCGGCCACCAAGCACAGGTCGACTCCCACGTCCAGGTCCAGCCACAGCCGCCCCGGCGCCGCCACCGCCGTGGCGCCGGACCTACCGAGCGAGCTCGGATGGAGTGGCGGACTCTCCGCGACCAAGACGACGAGAAGCTGGGAGGGGTGCGAAGATGATCGTTCCGTGGGGCAAAGGCATTGAGCTGATCGCAGCAGAATGACATGATGCGTTCTGGAGAGTTTGTTCTGAGGTGCGGTGGTCATCATGCAAAAGTGTGGGACGACCGGACTATCTTCATACGACCCCCACCCCCATACAGTGAGTCCCAAGGGTCATCGAAAGAGTCACCCCGTTGGGTACGAACGGCTGTGTCTGTCACTGTTCGATCCCACTGTGAGTCCGCCTCCGAGTTTGCTCGATCGATTCGATCAGCAATTCGATCGATTCGAGGATTGAGTTCAATGGTTCTCGTTTGTGGGCCGGTTGGTTTGTCTTGCCACTTCCCCTCAGTCTTTCACACGAGATCAACTCGTTACAGACGGTCGAGGCGGTCGAGACGGTCGTGGCCATGTTCCGTGACTGGGACTGAGAGGTCAGTGCAAGGTTGGTGGGTCTTCCTTCCCTGCACACCGCGAGCGACACTGCTCACACTGCATTGTCCGGTCAGCATCAAGCAACGCGGAGACACAATGCTTTTCCTGTGCTTTTTCGATCCGGATCTGCGTCGGAGCGACTCAAAGATCGTTTGAGCTGCATGAATGGACGCCTTCTGAAATGATGCCTGCGGGATTGGAAGGATATGTTGAATCTTTAGAGTCTTTAGAGTCTTAAAATGTCTTGAATATGTCAACCGATGTTCTTCGGATTGGTTCCAAAAAGGGCTCTCCCAAAAGCAAAGCGTCCATCATCTTCAGCCAAGCACACCAGGTGGATTGGACGATTCCATGCACAAATTCATCAGTTTGTCAGGAGTTTCGGCATGCAAGTGTCTTCTGCGTCTGGCTGCTCCCTGGAACTGTCTGCATCTTTCGTGTTCGACTCAGACCGCTGGTGTGGCCCAACAGGTAGACAAACACCACGTCCACGATTATTTCAGGGAGTGTGTACCTCCAGTTCTGCTACAATCTCTGGGACATTCTCCCAGATGTGAGACAGTGCCACAGAGCACTCCGCTCGACCAAACACGTCTCTGAGTGGTTTCAGTGAAGGCGTGCCAAGTTACAAAACATAACCTGCTGAATGTAACTAATATGGAGCTGGGATACTGATACTGATACTGATGTTGTTGCACGTGTTTACCAAACATAGCATAGTGGTTTTTAAAACAAAGAGGGTTTCTCTTTACCATGCTTTGTGAATTTGCGTGGCCATTCAGGAAGCCATCATGGGGACCAAATGCCCACCTCCCTTCAGCACCTTCTCAACCACCTCGCTGATGGATCTTCCGCCCTCCAGCGCGTTGCCTTTCCTCGCTCCGGATATCTGCCTTGCTCTTCATGGCAGGCGGTGCACGCGGCATGCTCCTTGTACAGTTGGCCATCTCGCGAGGAGGAATGGCCTTGAGCTGTAGAAGGACATCGCGCTGTGGCTGCACCAGTGACAGTGGCACCTCTTCGGAGATGATGGGGCGCGGGCGCGGTTGGTATCTAAAACCGTCACCTTCTGGCTTACTCCTCAGGCTGGGATCCCATTCCTCCTCAGGTGTTCCAGTGCTGAAGAAGCCTCCCATTGCGGCGATGGCGAAATTTTCGTGCCGATGCGTCCGATCAGACCACCTCCATGAGTCCGAAGAATTGCACTCTGGCATGCTCTCTTTGGATCTTTGGATGCTGCATTGCTTTGTCTTGTTGCACACCGTGGATCCTTGGACCAAGACCATCGAATGGCACACGTGCGATGAGTCCGCTCGACGCTGATCGCTCGACGCTGATCGACGCTGATCGCGGCGTGACGTTTGAGACCCGAATTGGATCCCCGTGCGTTGACGCTCCATCTGGGCACCCCAAGGGTAAGGAGAGAGAAGAGTAGGTCGGTGAGGAGGAAGCAAGCACTAAACCCAGACACGACCAGGCCAGGGGTGGTTTGGGGGGTCAAAGTAGGCACATACGGCAGCCCCATGGAGTGTCTGGGAAAGGGTTGAAAAGCAACAAAACGTGACAACAGCATACAAAAGCACGTACACCGCGATTTCGATTCACTCCAAACCAACCTCCACTCGATTCACTTAGGAAATGTCACCTCATGATACCTCATGCCCCAAAAAAGGCTTCGAGAAAAAGAGAGGTGATAGTGTAAGCGAGATTTCGTCCGATAAAAATTTACAAAACAGTTTGGATTGTTGCCTATGTTGAGACCACCTGTGCTTGAAAGGGTTTCTCAACAATTTCCCACTAGACTTTTTCAGCGGGGCAGATCCGCTTCCCATGAACCCGGGCCTGTTTATGTCATGGTGGGTGCGCAAAGAGCTTGTTGACTGGCTGCATATGGGAACTATTTGCAAGACCTGCCAGCTCGGTAGTTGGGTCGAAACGAGGCGAATCCCTTCAGATTCGTTTGCCCACCCAGGTGACAAAGGAAAAAACGAAACCAGCTTCCCCCTTCTCAATTCGAAGCCATATCCAGATATCATCAGATATCCAGATATAGGCGCTGTTCTTCGAAACAATC